CGGATCCGTGGTGGCAACAGAAGGCTGACTTGAAGGATTACTAGAGATGTATGCCACAAGGCAGTTGACAGTGAGTATAACTTGCCGAGTACATGTCATTGTGTATCACCACAACATTGGAGGAAAGACGATTTTGCTAAATATTATACTTTTAAACAAATCGATTCAACTGACCAATATCCCTTTAAAAAAGCCAAAATCCTAGGTGATTTCACAGCGTAACTTCCTTGATTCCTGCATCCAGATTGCATGCCGGACTTCACTTTTGTAAACACCATGAGGATGAAAAAGATCAAAGCAAACTTCAATAGCCACCTACCCTTCATATTATATAATCCATAGCTTTTTGTGACATGTTATTAGCTGTATCATGTAATGATATAGCTAGATTTGGCTAATGCGAAGCATTCCGAACTGGCGGAGCTTTTGGATCATACTTTATGTGAGAACGCATGTTTTATCGAACAGAGTATGCGTTTTGTTTAGTTGATTATGTTGATTTTATGAACACTCCATTCACATCTGTCTCTTTAACGGTCACATTATTATGGTGTTCTAGCAACGAGTACGCACGCACCACTCTACGGCTTCCAGGTAGCCAATCATGAAACAGATTTTCCGACCAATCTTGTGGTCCCAAGTGGCATCAATCCGATTGGCTGAATAAAAGAATGCAACCAAATGAGCCATATCGTTACCGATTGGGCATGGAAGAATCGACCAATGATTGTTGTATTCTTGTGATATTTATTCGCATAATTTCCCAAATCGAATTCATTGTATTCATAGCTCGACTTGGTTCTAACTGACTTTGCGCTGCTATTCAGTGATTTTTCAGTCCGAATCCGAGTTCGCGCGCTATTCGATTCTGATTCCTATTCTGAATACTATAACCATCCTCCACATCTAAATTCCTTGAAACTGATCTTGTTTACACTGATATCAAAACTCATCTGCAGGTCAGATCAATACTTTATCGATTACCACTCTGTCCAGCGACGGCAATTCCGATACCCCTTTTAGCAATTTCGCACTGTCCTAATCGATACGCCAACCACCTTTGCTAGAAACATTTATGTTGAAATATTCTGAGTGATAATTTAAGTTATTAGTTTTCACTACAAAACCAAAAACCAGGCAAAAAAGTGAACTGGATGTTTATAAGAAATAAAGAGAAATGTTTTTTAATACTTTTTTCCGTTTAATAAGTAAACGAATTGTACGGTCAACGGTGCACGTTAACGACCGGCATCCCAGTATGGTTTCATTCTAAAAGCGGTCACTTTTAAATAATTATATTACTTTTCCAAATATTGTCAGAAAGATCTATTTATTGAAAAAATGTTTTTTGTCTCTTTTGTTTTTGAATTTATGAGCTTAGGACCGTTTCGGATGGTTCCGATATGGGCGGATCGATACAAAGCGGCCCCTTGGGTGAAATTTCTGAGTTTGAATTTTTTTAAGTGGTTTGAACAGTTTTATTATTTAACGGTTGATTATAGTATATACATATACGGGTATGCTATTCTTACGCGAAGATGAATTTTAGGGGTTTTCTGTTCATTTGTGACCTTGAAACAATGTCAGATGATTCTCGCCTACGAAGAATTCTTTGTAGTTTTAGAGGTTCATGTAGTTTGGAATATATGCCGGACAGAAAACTGATCGCATCTGAAAAATATATAAGTATAACATAATATAATACAGTATAATATATAATATAAATCTAATATATTAATATATATAGTACACATATAATATATAATACTACATGATATATATATATAATATTAGATTATTCCCACTATAAGTATTCCTATTATCATTATTATTCAGGTCACACTAATCACCTTTATCCTTGTTGATACACCTGTTATCTATTTTATTATTTTTTAATTTTTATTATCGTCATGTATAATATGAGTTTCATTATTTGTTTACTGTCGTGCGACATAGCATAGTCAGAAACTACGTTATTAGGCATACCCTTTTGTTTGGGTTTTGGCAAAAGTGGGAATATATTGGAAAATGTGACTTCTCAGGGGTGCGACATAGCAGGAGATTGACTATAATGCTATTGACGTCCCACTTAATATTACGACCTAAGGTATACTCTCGCATTTCTTATCAAGCTTTCACACGTTCTACTCAGATAAGATTTCATCTAACGGACTTCTCACCCAACCGTATCTCTCTACTCAACCGTTCTATTGTGATTGTTCAGTCTGGATTTGGTTCTTGTCCTTCGATTCTATCAATCTGTTCACTGATACGATTAAATCAATCTTTAACTTGTGCTGTCCAATGAAAACCTTGTTTGTCTGTAACGGTAGAATCACCTCACCCTTTTTGAAATCACTGAGAAGGTACAAAGAACTGGCCTACAAATCTCGTCTTGCCTCACTTGTAAAGCACTATTCTGAGTTAATCAGGTCCGAGATAACGTACCTCAATGCAATCTTCGCCGCCCGAATTCTGCGAACGAATAACACGAGGCTCTTATGGCAAGGTATTCGCCTTCTCTGTGGGCAGAACAGAAAACATTCTAATACCTCTGTGGATGTCAACAGCCTCAACGCCGCTTCATCCACCCGTCAAACGAGAGCCAGGCTCCCTCATTCCTATGCAATGAATCCAGTTCAGTGCCTTTTACCAATGATTTAATCTTTAAGCTTCTTCGATCCTGCAAAGCATCCTCAGCTGCAGGCCCTGATGGTCTTCCTCCGGCACTTCTGAAATTCGGAGCAGCTTCCCTAACCAATATGATGAC